CCCCTTGGCAACCTCCTTAGCAGTGGACTTTTACCAAGATAGAAGCCCCATGTGGGGGCAGGTTGGAAAATTTCTATGAAAACTACCTTGAACAAAGGAAGGGTAAACATACGCTGTTGGAGCCCATGTGCTTGCTGCTTGTGTTCAGTTGGCTGAGTCCATACAGCGCCCGAGCACATGTGTTGCCTGCATCTCCCCTCCTGAGATGTGTACTTTCATGTCTAATGCTGGGATGTGTGTGGGGGCTCTCTCTGCCCTTGGAGAAGCCCAGGTTCTTTTTACTTTTTTATATTTTTGCTTATTTTTGGATCACACCTGGCGACGCTCAGGGGTTACTCCTGGCTCTGAACTCAGGAATCACTCCTGGCGGTATTCAGGGGACGATACAGGATGCTGGGAATCGAACCTGGGTCGGCCGCGTGCAAGGCAAACACCCTACTCGCTGTGCTATCGGTCCAGCCCTACTCTCCACTCTCTCCCACTTTCTCTTCCTCCTTCCCTTCAAAACCTCGAAATAAAATCTGTTTTACTTAACTGCTTGTCTACTCCTAAAATTCTTTTCTGAGAGGGGAAACAAGAACCCAGTAACCTTGGGTCCTGTGTGGCAGAGGCAGGAGAACGTGACCGTCTTTCTCCTCCCAGTTTCATATGACACCCATGAGGCCCACCTACATCACTAGGAGTAAGCCCTGAGTTCCTCCAGGTATGGCCCTAAATAAGTGTGTGTGTGTGTGTGTGTGTGTGTGTGTGTGTGTGTGTGTGTGTGCAAGCAGATCAGTTGCATGATTTGCATGAAGGAGCCCAGGGTTCAGTTCCTGACACATGAAGGTATGGTTTCTTGAGCACTGCTGCAATGAGTCCTGATGGATGAGCTGGGAGTAGCTCCTAAGTACTGCAGGGTGCATCTTAGGCCAGAAAGGTAGTATAGCAGGCAGGGCCATTTCCTTGAACATACCCAACCTGGGTTCACAAATGGTTCCTGAGCATTGCTAGGAGTGATCCCTGAACTGCCAGGTGTTTTCTCCCCAAAATACTCAAATCTAGAGATCTCTGAAGAATTTGAGTGCAGAGCCAGAAGTAAGTCTGATCACAGCCAGGTATACACCCTACCCCCCATTAAAAAAAAAAACAAAAAAAAACCCCCAAAACCTTAGAATTTATTGGAAGGTTTTTTTTTCTTGTTGCCTTTTGGGTCATACCAGCAATGCACAGGGGTTACTCCTGGCTCTGCACTCAGGAATTACTCCTGGAGGTGCTCAGGGGACCCTATGGGATGCTGGGAATCAAACCTGGGTTGGCCACATGCAAGGCAAACACCCTATCCACTGTGCTATTGCTCCAGCCCCTATTGGTGGATTTTTTGGTGATTGTTTTTTGGGGCTGGCAATACTCACGGGTTCCTCCTGGCTCTGCACTCAGGGATTGCTCCTGGTGTTACTCTGGGACCACATATGGTACTAGGGAATCAAACCTGGGACGGCTGCATGTAAGGCAAATGTTTTACCAACTGTTATCTTGCTCTGGCTCCAAAAGCATACAGATTTTAAAGTACCAAAATGGAAAAGTATATGCAATATAGGTAACATAATTTCATATTGTACTCTTCAAAGAGTTCTTGTAAGTGAAAAGAAATTGAGTTCAAATGGGTCAAAGATGTAAATAGGAGATCCACAAAAATGAGGTATGAAAAAGTGAGACTGGGGAAGAGAGCTCAGGCATACATCCAGGAGACCTGGTTCAATCCCTGAACTGCTGGGTTCCCAAGCACCAGCAGTAACACCCCCCACCCCCCAACAAACCAACCAACCAACGAAGGTTTGGGGTCAGAGCAATATTACAGTGGGGAGGGTGCTTGCCTTTGCTCGCAGCCAACCTGGGTTCAATTCCTGGCATCCTATATGGTCCTCTGAGCACTGCCATGAGTAATTCCTGAGTGCAGAGCCAGCAGTAATCCCTGAACATTACTGGGTATGACCCCTCCCCCACCCAAAGAACGTTTGACTTTACTCCTAGTTCATGAGCTACAACAGTGCAAAACAACTGTTCTACTAGATTATCAAAGATGACAAAGAATGATAAGACATAGTAGGAGAATGTGAAGAAAACTCCCCTCCTATTACCTGACTCAGGGCTGGAGCCATAGTCCAGTGGAAAGGGTGCTTGCCTGGCACACGGCTGACCCAGGTTCAATGCCTGGCGTCCCATAGGGTGCCTAGATCCCTGCCAGGAGTGATTCCTGAGTGCAGAGTCAGGGGAGATCCCTGAGCACCACTGGGTGTGGGCCCAAAACAAAAATAAAAAACCAAGGCAGGGCTTCTCCCCTTTCCACAGTAGATAGCAAAAGTCATCAGCAATGACAAAGATTTTGGGACCTTTGACACTATTTTGAAAACTGAGGATTTAACTGCAAGGATTCAACTTGCACAAAAGTGGAAGTTGGCAACAAATCTCAAATCTATACTGGGGTCATAATTATGGTACATGTCTATAATGGGATGCCATGTGATCATGAAAAATGTTCTAAGGATTTTTTTTTACATGGAAGAATGTTCGGACTATATTAAGCAATAGCTATAATATGGTTGCAAATATGCATGTATATAAACAGAACAAATCTGGAAGGTTTATTTTTGGCTGCTGGGTTTACAGATTTTTTTTATTTTAGCATTTTGCTTATTTATGGTTTACTATTTTTAAAAACTGGTAATTATGTAAAGGTGAAAGCAAGAAGAGGCATTAGTAAACTAACTGAAATTAAGCTTAAACTGATCAAGTATTTAATTAAGTGAATCCACCTTGAATAAACTAGATTTAGTTGTTTTGTTTTTTTTTTTGCCATAAGAGGGAGTAAAACCTAAAATAGAAAGAAAATAAAATAGAAAATTGAAAGTAAATTTCAATTACAGAAATTAAGGTTCAATTTAAGTACTCCTGTGTTTGAATTGTGAAATTTGTACTATTAGACATGTGTGTGTGGAGAGAAAATATCTGAAAGGATATGCACTAAATTAATTTAATTTTTTTTTTGGCGGGGGTGGGGTTGTGTTTAGGTGTGGGCCATACTCAGTAGTGCTCAGGGATCGTTCCTGGCAGGGCTCAGGGGATTGAACCTGAGTTGGATACATGCAAGGCAATCACCCTTCCCATCACAATACTCTCTGGCTTCAGACACCCACGAAATTCAAAAGATGATCCCCTCTAAGCAGTGTGACTAAAAGAAGGAGATAATACATTTTCTTTAAAAAATTTTCCCCTAGAATGTTGTACTGACTTATAACAAGCATGTAAAAATAATCAGAAATTTTCTTTTGGGGGTGGGGGAAGAGGCACACCCAGTGGTACTTGAGGTTCCCCATGGCTCTGCACTCAGGAACTGCTGGATAACATTGGTTTGCCCTTACTCCTCCCTTAGGACCCCCACCAAAGTGCTCCTGAAGCACACCCAATTCCATCAGACACTAATAATCCTATATTGCTTTTCTCTTTCCTTTATGTCCTTTGCATGGCTTAACAATGCCCTTTTTGTATAGGAAGATAGTTGATGCTGTTTTTGTAACATGGGAGTCAACTGATTCCGAATAATATTTACTCCTGGGCATCCATTATATTTACTTGACTTAAGCCTCAGTTGCCCTTACTTCCTAACACTCCCAAAGAAGTTACCAGCGAGGACTTGGATGGACCCTGGGCAAGCCGCAAGCTACCTTGGCATCAAAACGGGACAGGCTAAGCACCATATGGAAATATAATAATTTAAGAGCAGAGTCATAGATAAACTCTGTCATGACCCAAAAAGAAGTAACTGAATAAGGGCCCTGCTGGGGTTAGAAAAACTAACCTGGCCTAAGGACTGTAGTCTGGGATACATAGTGATATGTGCCCAGGAAGAGCCATCTTTTAAGCTTAATCTCTTACTGTGTTCATACAAAATGACAGAAATATTAGTAAGAAGTAAATTTTATGATTGTTTAAATGAATTACTAGCTGAGGAAAGAAGAAAGCAATGCCTTTTACTAAGATGGAATCCCACCCTTGAAAGGATCTCCCAGCAATTCAGAGTGCTGAACCCCCAGATAAGATTTTGTCCCTGAGTTAATCTCTTAGAAGAACTTCCTCTGAAGGAGAGGCTTTACATCTATTTATTGTTATGATAATGTTCAACCCTACCTATGTGTACCCCACCCTATATGATTTCTATATAACACTGTAAGAGAGAAGAAAAAGAGAGGAAGATAAATGGTCTCTGACTACCAACCAGCCTGTGGGCTCCTGTTCTTCCATTCCCCCATTGCTCTCATGTGTCACCACTGTCTTCTGGTTACCCACAGCTTCTTCCAGGATCTGGGAACAAGTCAGAGATTCCCCTAACCCTTCACCCCCTTTGGTATGATAATCTGCTATGGTGGTTCCCAGAAAAGGGCAGATTTATGTTACCAGTTTATTAAAGGATACGAGAGGCCAGAGAGTTAGTATAGTGGGCAGGGCTCTTGACCAGCAGACCCGGGTTCAATACCCAGCACCCTGTATGGAGTCTCAAGCCCCACCAGGCGTGATCCCTGAGTACAAAGCCAGGAATAAGCTCTGAGCACCAATAGGTGTGGCCCAAAGGCCCTCCCGTTGATCATCGATTTGCTCGACAGGGCCCAGTAACGTCTCCATTGGAGACTTTGTTGTTACTGTGTTTGGCATATCGAATACATCACGGGGAGCTTGCCAGGCTCTGCCGTGTGGGCAAGATACTCTCGGTAGCTTGCCGGGCTCTCCGAGAGGGGCGGAGGAATCGAACTCGGGTCGGCCATGTTGGCTGCTTGCAAGGCAAACGCCCTACCACTGTGCTATCGCTCCAGCCCAATAGGTGAGGCCCAAAAGCAAAAAAAAAAAAAAAAAAAGAGGACCTGATAATAGATGCAAATGAACAGCCAAATGGACACACAGGCCAGCCCCTGGAGCAGTAATTTCCGCCCTCCCTCACCTCCCAGAGCAATCCTGAGTTCACCTACCTGGACGCAATGCATTCTTTTGCCATTTTCCTTATGCTAGGGCCAGATCCAATAGTGCTCAGGGGCTACTCCCTGGTCTGCATTCCTGGTGACTGCTGCCCATACTCAGGGGGAACCATGAGGTGCTGGGGCTCAAACTGGATCTCCTGTGAGCAAAGCAAGCATGGATTTCCTGCCCACTGAGCTCTCTCCCAGCCACTGTTGGGAGTTCTAGGTAGACGTCACCTAGCTGCACTGCTCATTAGTTCCACTTTTAGCACTCCCCCTGCTCAAGACTTGGGGATAAGGGGTACCTTAGCAAGCCTGTCTGCTGTTCAGGAGTCCTGTCACCACGGCCAGACTTTTGTGTGATGAGAACATTCATTTCATGCCACTTGCAAGCCGTCTCTTTGCAAACACAGAAGGTCTTGAACGCAGAGAAACAGTGAGAAAAATGCGTTGAACAAAAGTTGACTACCCTTGGGGGCAACAACAGAGATTAAGGGCCTGGGTGTTGGCTGAATTTTTTTTTCCCTGCTTTTTGGGTCACACCCAGTGATGCACAGGGGTTACCCCCTGGCTCACGCACTCAGGAATTACCCGGGCAGTACTCGAGGAACCATATGGGATGCTGGGAATTGAACCCGGGTCAGCCGCGTGCAAGGCAAATGCCCTACCCGCTGTGCTATCACTCTAGCCCCTGAATTCTTAAGTCACCAGGAAAAGGGAAAACCTGGCCGCTTGCAGAAGAGCCCGGGGTCACTAGGCTACTCCTCCAGGTCACGCTGGGGCTTTAAGGAGAGGTGAGGCGGACCCGCGCTGGCCACGCCCACCGGCCGGCCGGGTCCGAGTCCGGGCTCGCGACAGGCCGTAGGGTGACGCATGCGCCCTGCTTCCCACGCGGCCTCCGGCTCCCGGTCGGCCCCGCCCTTCCCGCTCCCGTGGTCCCCGCGTCTATGCCCCAAAACCTCGTCGTCTTCAGTCCGGGGCAACGGTGAGAGCAGAAGCACCTTAGGATCGGTAGGCCCGTGGCCGGGTCGGGCTCCGGGTAGGGACGGGTGCGGGGGGCGTGAGGACGCCTAGGAGGGGCGGGAGGGCGGCGGTGGCGTCACTTCCGGCGGGGAGCGGAAGTGTCCCTGAGCGGCGGCGGGAGGGGCAGGAAGCGGGGGGAGGGCCGGGCGCGGGGTAGGGGGTGGGGCCTGGGCTGGCGCCGGGACCGGCCCGGGGCCCGACTCCGACGTAGGGGTGGGCCCCGGCGCGCCGCCAGGACGGACCGGGAGGGACCCAGGTGACGATCGGACTAAGTAGGATCGAGATTCACGGGCTGCGGGAGCGTGGGGTGGGAGATGAGGGTCCGAGTCGGGGGAGGGCAGCAGAGACTCCGGGAGCACCGAGCACCCCTGGGAGAAAGGTGGGAGGAGCTATATTCTGGGCGGGGGAGGGGGTTAGTCGAATGCCACGCCCCTACAGGAAGAGGGGCGTGCATGGGGGTGTGTGTGTGTGTGTCTGTGTGTGTGTGTGTGTGTCTGTGTGTGTGTCTGTGTGTCTGTGTGTCTGTCTGTGTGTGTTGCCACTGAGCCAAGACATTGCAACACGCTGTGGGCCTTGTTGCTGGCCGAGTCGTTGGCCTGCAACACTTCAGAAGCGAGCACTCTCAGGAATGGCCCTGGGAGGGAGTTGCACAGTTGACACAGTTGAGAAGCAGCCGGGGTGGGGAGCTTGGGAAGAGCAGAAGGGGGAGGAGCAGAGCATGAGTATGGAAGGCCTGGAATGGCTTCATTTCCATAGCTGGAGGATTAGAACGCTGTGGACACTGTGAGAAGCTCAGGAGAGGTGGAGCGGGAGCTCCAACAAGACTCAGAGCTCTGGGGGAGATGAGGAGGCGTCTCCGAGAGAACGCGATCTTGGTACACTGTCGTTGGTTGCTGTCAGAGAGAGAATAATCTTGGTCCTGAGCCCTCTGTGTGTTTGCCTATGGATGCGTCTGTGTTCAGGGTGAAGTGGGCACTGATTATACCCCAGTGGAGTCTTTTAAGGAAGGATTTTGGGCAGGTCAGGAATAAGCAAAGGAATCGAGTGTAGGGAGTTTCAGAAAAAGACTCTGGGTATTCCATAGGTTAGAGAATGTTGCGGTGTTTCCATGATCCACAGGTTCTCAGAGATTGGCCTCCTGGACCATGCCTGTTCTAAGTCCTGCTTCTGCTCACGAGCCTCCCAAGAGGACAGACGAGCCTTTCTTCACAGTGGACTGCATCCTCTCCCTGAGACAGAGATGGGATAGTTTCTGCGGCCTGCCCCTCCGGAGTAGCTGGGCTGAAGAGTCTGCCGAATGAAGCCATGTAACCACCCCTGGGAGAGAAGCTGAGGCCTGTAGTGGGGGGGAGGGGCGAGGACTTAACCCTTCCCCCCCAGACCCTCCCCTTCAGAGTTCACCCCAGCCCAGGATTTTGGACCAGGAGGAGAGAAACTGCGTATCGTTTTCATCTGTCTGATGTGCGATTCTCAATTTTGAAAGTGAAGTACTGACTAGGAGTTTTGACGATTTCCAGGGGAACAGTTGGAGCAAAGCAAAAAGGTAAGATGATATTTTGGGGTGTAGGGGTCTTGTAGAAGTGACCAAGCAGGCCTCGGGTCACTCCTGGTAGTAGGGGCCTGGCAGGGCTCTGCCTAGGGGTGCTGGGGGTCCAGAGCTACCCTAGCAGTGCTCCGGGGGCCGTGTGGAACTGGAGTGGGCCAGGCACTGACTCTGGGCCTGTGCATGCAGACTTGTGCTCCCGCCCTTTGAGCTCTGTCCTGGGTCCCCCGGTGTGAGCTCTTCTTTCATTCCCCACTGGAGAGCTTGCTGCTCCTCTCAGAAAGTGTGGAGGAGGGCCAGCATGACTACTTCCTTCCAAAGTCTCTGGTGAGAACCCTCCTTCTGATGGCCACACCAGCAGCTCCATCCCTTTCCTTGCTGTCCCAGTGCGGACTGTCCCTGCCTGTTCAGGCATGTTGAACGCTAGGAGCATGGCAGTTGTGAGATTAGGCCAGAGAGGATAAATGGAGCCTTGGAAGGAAGGCTTTGTAGGATTCCTTGTATACAATCCCGATACATTAGGATTCTGAGTCAGTGTGGGCCTGGAGAGGCTCGTCATAGGTTCCTCCAGCAGAGGTGGACTTCTGTACTTAGGGGAACTAATGGAAGAGAGCTGTCTTGGAGAGACAGAAGATGGTATAGATCAGTAGTTTTCTTTTTATTATTTTTGTTTTGGGGCCACACCCAGCAGAGCTTACTCCTGGCTTGATGCTCAGGGGAACCTATGGAGCACTAGAGGTGCAAGGCAAGTGCCCTCCCCACTGTGCTGTTGCTCCAGGTCACTGGACAGGTGCCTGTCCACTGGTTTAGGTACCCTGAGTCCTGAGCCGTTTCTGTTCCTTCCCTGGTGGGACCTTAGATCAGGACACCCTTAGGAAATGTCTCCACACCCAGAAATTACTCCTGGCGGTGCTCAGGGGACCATATGGGATGCTGGGAATTGAACCCGTTTGCTTGCAAGGCAAACGCCCCACCCACTGTGCCATTGCTCCAGCCCCCTAAATGCAGCTGTGAGTCAGAATTTACATTCTCCTTCTGCCAATCCAGGGTCCATCAGCTAGACTTAGCCTGCCTCTTCCTTTAACCTGAAACCTGGAGTGATTCATGTCCCACGTTCTTCATTGGTGGTTCCAGGAGCAAAGGAAAGAGGAGGGATGGTTTGCAGAGATTCTGTGACCCTATTGGGATCAAAACAGAATCACCCTGGTTGGACTCTGTCTGTGATGATAGCATAGAGTCAAGCCCTGAATTAGGAGTGAGATGCTCTCATTGGATTTGGGAAAGCGTCGACAGCCCTTCATGAGAAGTCTGGCCTGCATTGTTCCTGTAGCCATGGACCAAGACCTGGGAACTCATAGTTATGGGTGAGGTGCCTGAGTCCTGGGAGTGCTGACATGGTGTTTCAGGCTCTGCCGCATGCCTCTATTTTTTAAATTTTGATTTAATTTTATTTTTATAAAGTAGTTCATACAATTTGACTATATTTAATATTTGAACACCAATCTCACCACCAATACACCTTCCTAACTACCATATTTTGGGTGTTTCCATCCGGAACCTCAACCCTTGCCCCAAAGCGGAACCAAAATAGTTTATTTTATATTGTTTGTTATGAACCACTGAAAATGCTCCAAAAAAGTTTTCTTAGAGGAGAGTGTGTGAAGATTGTTGTATTTTACCCAGGGGCCATTAAGCCTTTCTATAAGAAATTACTAATATGTTGTTAAGGGTTGAGCCTTGTGTGTGTGTGTGTGTGTGTGTGTATGTGTAATATTTGTAAGAATATATTTTCATCTAAGATTGGTTGCCTTCTACCTTAAACCCCATCGAATGTGGTGTGCTGTTCTTGGAGTGGGGAGAGTGGTGTGAGGTATGAGATGTCCAGGGATAGGTTTACTCGTGGGTGAGTCTCGGCCTGAGTGTGTGGAGAGTGGCCATGAACATGGTGGAAGTTGAGTTCTGGAGGTTTTCGACTGCAGAGCTGGGTCCCTTGGGACAGAGAGGGGCCTCACTCACCCCCTCCAGGGTGTCCAGAATGAAACAGCCTGGTGCAGGGTCTGGCTGCATGGCTGTGGCAGTGTCATTTGATGCTCTCTTCTGAGAGAGAAGAACAGTGAGTCTCTGGAATGTGGTCATTGGTGGAGATTATCTGGCTCCAGCCAGAGGTGGCTTGTGGGGGTAACTGCCAAGTTGCTGGAAATGAGGACATTGGCGAAGGTCACCCGTTCCCAATTCCATTGAACCTGGAGTTTTCAGTCGCAAGTTCCGCATACCTGGGTTTTCCACAGATTCACTTATGGGCGAGGCTCGGCCCAAGCGTGTGGAGAGGGACCGTGAGCATGGCAGAGGTTGAGTTCTGGAGGTTTCCGGCTGCTGGGGGCAGGTCCCTCTGGGTGCCCGGAATGAAACGGCCTGGCGCAGGCTCTGCCTCGTGGCTCTTAAAACAGAGTGGCTTGGCCAGTGAACCTGAGAGAGGGGGTGGGGAGCGCGGGAGTTGGAGAGCCGGAGTGCAGTACGGACAGGGAATGCCGTGTCTTGGAGCGAGCACTTAGCCTTCTTTCCATGCCACTTTTCTCTCTACTCTTTCATATTTGGGGGCCACACCTGGCCACGCTCAGGGCTGACTCCCTGGCTCTGAACTCAGGGATCAACTCCTGGCCAGGCCTAGAGCACCTTTAGGGATCAAACTTGGGTCAGTCACCTGGAAGCCAGTGTCCACCCCGTTGTACTATCTCTCCAGGCCCGCTCTCCTGCTCATTAAGGTGACAGTTTACAGACTGACATCTCAGAGTACTTTTTAATTTAATTTTTGTTTTGTTTTTGGATCACACCCTGCAATGCCTAGGGGGTTACTCCTGACTCTGCACTCAGGAATTTTTCCTGACGTTGTTCCGGGGATCATATGGGATGCCGGGAATTGAACATCCTTGTGCAAGGCAAACGCCCTACCCTCTGTACTATCGTGTTAGCCCCTATTTTTAAATTTTGTCATTGTTTGGTGGTGCTGGAGATTGAATCCATGACCTTGTCCCTGCAAGCCTCTCTCTCTCTCTCCTACCAATGAGCTCGCTGCTGATCTTGCCCATTAGATTTTTTGTTTTTTTTCAGGCCCTCTTCCTTTCCCCTCACATCTGTTCAGAGTTCCTGTCTCACTTCATCTCCTCTCCTGGTAATTCAGTTGACAATGTTGTGCTGGCACAAGCCGCGAATGAAGAGACAGCTCAGAATAGGGTAGTGAATTTATTAGAAACTCCATGCTAAGGACCCCCAAATCAAAAGAGAAAGAAACTTGAAGCCTCGTTTGCTGAGCGGGTTTCTTTTATTCTCTTAAGAGTGGGCTACAAACACATACATTCTCATTAGTGAAGTAAGGAATACAGAGGTAGTAAGCAAAAGAAAAACAATTAATGCATCCTTTCCACATGGTAGGACCTTTAGTTGCCCAAAGGAAAAACAGTGTTAGTAATATCTTGCCCATGTGATGTGGCCTTCATGTGCCACCTCCCATGCACTCCCATAAATCTGGCAGACCCGGTGCACCTCTATAAATCTGCTGGGCTTGTGGGCTCTGTTGATTGGGATCATAAAAAGAATGCTTCTTCCTCCCGTCTCTTGTTTAGGTTTTTTTGTTGTTGTTGTTGGTTTTTTTGGGTCACACCCCGGCAATGCACAGGGGTTACTCCTGGCTCTGCACTCAGGAATTACTCCTGGCAGTGCTCAGGGGACCATATGGGATGCTGGGAATCGAACCCGGGTTGACTGCGTGCTAGGTAAATACCCTACCTTCTTTTTTTTTTTGCTTTTTTGGGTCACACCCCAGCAATGCACAGGGGTTACTCCTGGCTCTGCACTCAGGAATTACTCCTGGCGGTGGTCAGGGGACCATATGGGATGCTGGGAATCGAACTTAGGTCAGCCGCATGCAAGGCAAACACCCTACCCGCTGTACTATTGCTCCAGCCCCAGTGCCCTACCTTCTGTGCTATTGCTCCAGCCTCCCCTTCTCTTGTTTAACCTAGGGGTCAGTTTCAGTCTCCCAATCCCCATTACGTCTTAGTTCTCATTACAGTTTCATATTTCTCATTACATACAGTTTCTTATTTGTAATTTTTTGTCATTATAGGCAAGACACATTCTTGGAGAGGTGTTGAATATTTTGATAGAGAGCGGGTGATGGTCACCTTGGAGAGGGCTGGAAATTTGGCTCCTAGAGACCAGTGAGATAGGACACCAGGGAAGGCCTTGCACATGGCTGACCTGCCTCAATCCCCAGCATCCCACAAGTCCCACCAGGACCCCTGAATGAAGAGTCTGGAGAGCCCTGCTGGGTGTGACCCAAAAACCAAAAGGAAAACAATCTTCGAGGATCACTTTTCTCTTTCACTTGCTATGTAATACCTCTGTCTCACATTGACTGGGAAGGTAGTAACAACAAGGCTATTTGCAAACTGAAAGTCATGCGTAAATGACATAGGTTCCCCATCCATCTCCTTTCTGGGATGGGTCCTTGACCCCCCAGTGGCCTGAGGGCTGGGCAGGCAGGCATGGACAGGGTCTCTGGCCTTTGTGTAGTCACGAGGTTAGGGTAGTCCCTTTGAGGCTGGATTCTACTTTATTTGGGCAGGGACACACCTAGCTCAGGGTCACTCTTGGTGGAACTCAGGACTAGGGATGAGCCCAGGTCAGCCACCTGCAAGACAAGTGCCCTCCCTGCTGTGCTGTCTCTCTGGCTCTGGGTTTCTTGAGAATGTGGCGATTTTCAGGGACATGTCACCTTCCCTAGCCAGAGTCTTGTGCAGACTTTTTTTTTTTTTTTTTTTTTTTTGGTTTTTGGGTCACACCCCGGCAATGCACAGGGGCTACTCCTGGATCTGCACTCAAGAATTACTCCTGGCAGTACTCAGGCTGATGTTGGTGGGCCCCACGAATAGCTTATGTGAATAGGAAGGAGAAGGACAGTCATTTTCTCCCTATCCGCCTCTGCCACCGGGACTCAGGAT